ATAGTGAAGAGAAGATGACCTTAGACCTCTGTTGACATCAGCCCCACGCTCACACAAGAATTCCACCTGTAATTATTATCAATATAAACCAGCGCTGGCTCTCCAATGCTTACAAAAATGTTAAACAAACTGACATAGACCAGTTCTCCCACCTTCACACATGAACTCCAATACACTAATAAGAAACACCAGTTCACTCATACTCAATTAAGAATTTAAAAAGAATTTAAGATTCAGCAGTCTGAAAAACTAATTTACGATCAGGTGTACATGATGAAGGTTCTATAGGATCAAGTGGATAATGCAGCTGAGCACACCAAGCATCCATTCATATGAGAAATATTCAGCAATATTCTCAAAAAGACTATAATACTCATAATTATCTTGCCATCGGCACCACCAAAATGAGAACACTTTACGGACTGCTCAAGAAGAGAATCTAGCACATGCAGAGACGTGCAGTGATCTCACTATTTAAATAATTCCTTCACACAAAAATTTTAATAAATCAACAATATACATTAGTTCTCATGTCTTCAAGCAAGAATCGAATATACAATGGGTGTTGATATCATTTAACCGTTTACAGGAGTGAAAGCCTGTTCAGTTTAAGCAAGATATCTGAATGGTTTAGTGAACTGTTGCCTGTGTCTCACAACTCTAGATGTCACCACACTCAGACAATAGAATGTCACAGAAAATTATCAGGGAAGGCTAACCCATGCAACAAATGTTTTGTTCAATGTTCAATGTGCTGGTCGAACATACAGGTTTTCACAATTCTGCCAAAGATATGATGAAATATAAACACATACATTTTATTAAAATAACTAATGTTCTCATTAGCAGTTTCTAAAACAAAAAGTTTTTTTGTTTGTTTACACATACACACACACACAAACAAAAACAAACTGTACTATAAAAATACAAATATCAAGACAACAAATTATGTATTATTACCATTTCCTGAGTACCAAATGCAGATGCCCAGTTCAGTAAAGTCTGTCCAACATCATCCATGAAGTTGACTTCAAATCCTTTGACCCAACAAAACAAAAAATGTAAATCCATAACTTTTTTTTTTATTTATTCCACTTAACAATGCACAATAAATGTTAGTTCATCAATGGCTTATTTTTCTCTCAGTAGTATTAAGCAGGATTAACAAATGTGAAATGATATCACAAATAACACCTTATGACAATTAATGATGAAATTTATTCAGAAACACAAAATTTATCCCAAAAAGTCAAATGATGTGTTGAAATAAATATTTAGCTAAGCTGTAAAAATTTGATAAAAGCCAATATTGTGGTTTATTTACTGCAGTGAGAGCTGTTGCAGCAGTGTAAACAATCAGTTCCAGCCTACTAGATAATTTAAGTGAACACATGGGTGAAGAAAAGACTAAAAAGTCTTTTCTCTGAAACCCACATTCCAAAATAATGTGACACAAATAAGACAAAAAAAAACAATTTTTGATCAACTCTATGAACAGTCAATAACAGTATAAGCAGCTGTGAAATGAGTGAACAAACATCAAAACACCTGGGGTATTCCCAACATTAGAGAGGTAAAGTGAACACGACACCAAGTTCAAGTCTGAATATCATACCATTATCAACAGCATCAATTAGGGCATCTGTATCTTTGCTGCGGATGCAGTCAATTAGCTGTCGATGAGATCTGTCACTGGAACTATCAGTTCTTCGTAACCCTGGCAACCTACTAGTGATGGTATTTACTCCTGACTTTGGTAGTGCCTGGCGGCCTTCAAATAGCAGAACAAGCAGAAGATCCACAAATCGCATTGTGTCCAAACAGCATCTGGCAAATTATAAGAATAGTCAAAATTACAATTGGTTCATGGGATAACACATATATTTATTATATGCGATATTTAATCTAAATATATCACAGGTCAAGCATATAAGTTCTGTGATTTTGGTAACAATCACTGTCCTCTAGCAAAGGAAATGTCAGGCTAATTGAAAAATGAAATCACATTTATCATATCTTAGAATTATTTGCCATTTGAGAATCATGACATTGTTAATCTAAATATAGCTTGTGCTCAGAAACGGAAAAGTCATCCTTTAAAATTACTGGTGTTGTATTTTCTAAATTTCACAGTGACAAGTGTGAATTATCTTTTTAGTTCCACTTAATTGATTTCTATTTCTTCTATGTTCACTTTTAAAAAGCCAACTTGCCACTGTGTTGTGGTTTATAGCTCAGCTGTGATGCCTGTATTTCAATCCAAAACATTCAGCTAACAGTTGCTTTTATACGAAAGGGTTGTGAAGGGGCAGTGTGTATATTTCCCGCCCCCTAAAATGGGCCCCTGGACCCCACACAGGGATAATAGATTTCATTTGTATTGAGAAATAATATTTCCCACTTGCAAACTAGGACGAGGCACCGTTGTATTACTGTTTTTAAAAATCATCCAACTGTGCAGATTCCTGAACTATGTACAAAATGTGAAGATTTCACTACAATATTTAGTAACGCAAATTTCAGTGATTCTAACTGGGGAAAATGCAGGAAGACATACAGGTAAGACACTAACATATGATGACTAATGACTGCTGAAAGTTGGGGGGAAGTAAGTTAAATATCAAGCCCACATACCGCTCATCCCCCTGCAATCCACTTTCAATAGCTTCTGGTAAACTTGAGCGAAGGAGATCACGAGTAATACTTGGAGACCCTCGGCACAGAGTGGACAGCAAGCTTATCACTGTTGAGACGCTGGGACTTGTCTTGCCATCACCACTTACGGAGCTCTTGCCTGGAGTGGATGTTGTTGATGCATTATGAGCTTTTTCTCCAACACGCTGAAGTCGGGACAGCAAATCCTGAATAAGACCGTGATGGGCCAAAGGAGCTGGATCTAAGGACCTTCGCGTGTATCGGTCAGCAAGGGATGCAAAACACCTCAATGCACCATCTGCAACCTAAATTACCCACACACACACAAAAAAACATTTTTATTGACAATCTTCACAAGGAAGTACAAAGTAAACCATGCATATATACATCAGATGTTATGACACTACATAACAGGAAATAATATTGACAATATGCTAGTATTAACAACACTGAGCAGTGAGTGTATTATTTGGCTGGAGTGCTAATGTGCATGTTGTATCCTAATTTTTTTTATATACATATTTACAAATTATCTATTGCTTCTTTTCAAGTTTCACAATTACATGTTGCAGGTTTTAAAACTATCTCCATTTCTTAATTTCTTTTTTAAAACCTTGAGACTCATAACTGCACCCCCTCACCCCCCACCCCTTTCTTTTTTTTACCCAGTTGTTCTTATTTCATAATCAAATGGTGTGATTCATAAAATAGTGACACTACAACAAAGGGTGAAAAACAATACACAAATCCCATTTACGTGCACATTCATGGTACTTCCTTGGAAAGCATAAAACACATATATTCGGAAAATACTATAGAGAAAAAATATGTGTGACTCACAAATGGGTCATCGTGATCAAGAAGCGTAGACAGAGATTCTATACAAGTCTCCAATGCTGCATCTTGAGGCTCCATCTTACCACACAGTCGTGATACAACAGTCATGGAGGAGTGGAGAGTATCTTTGTGAACCTGTTACAAACAAACAACATACTTTCATCTCAGTAAGCATCATTGCAGAGATACTGCACAAAAACTACTCTTGATGCTCAGCTGGCAATAAGCACAAACAGTTGTGGGAGGCCAAATTAGATCTGGGATCAATTTTAAGTGTTTTGTCCTGCTTATGCAGAGATGTTAATAGTGCCTCCTTTTGTTGCAAGAGAAATTGACTATTCCCACACAATGCATAAATGACAAGTTATATGTATGTGCACAGCATGTTTGGATCACCTCAACAGTCTCAAAGAAGAATGGTCAGTTTAAACCCCTAGATGACAATCTACATCAGACATTGAGTCCCAGTAAATTGATCACTGTGTCCACACACAAAAGCTTTTAGAAACTCTAGAGACACAATTTAGCCGATTCACTGTTGTGTGAAACTTTAATTGTACTTCATCAAATGAAACCATCTTCCCCACAAATCTCTAGATACGCATGAACCATATGTTGAAACCACCCATGATATGTTGTGTTTAGGGGTGTCTTGGAGGACATGATATGTTGTGTTTAGGGGTGTCTTGGAGGACAGGATATGTTGTGTTTGGGGGTGTCTTGGAGGACATATGTTGTGTTTGGGGGTGTCTTGGAGGACAGGATATGTTGTCTCAGGTGCATATGGCTGATTCACCAATCTTAAATTCTGTGTATATGTGGCTGCCAAGTCGACTGTGCCCTGTTCCTTACCATTTTTGTTTCTCTTAATCATATTGCTTGCATTATCAACTAAACAATACATATATTTAACATGCATTTACCTGTGAGCCGTGTTCTCTAACAAATGTTAGTACACAATTCAGACCGCCTGCTTCAAACACTGCACCAGATTCCCTTGTGCAAATCAATTCCAACACCTAAAGATTTTACAATATCATATAAAAAAATTAAAGTGTCAATGCAAACCCTAAAGATTATGATGAAGAATCAATATCACCACACTCAGGTTCTAAACATTAGCATAAGTTGCTCCTGACAGAGTGTAAAGTGTGTGAGATGGCAAGATGGTCCATTACATGTAGGACTGTTCACATCTATGACCAATGTGACTGGTTCCATACCTGATTTCCCATGCTAACAGTCTAAACCAAGAAAGTTTATCAAGAGATGTGCCAACAAGATTCAGGCTGTCTATTTCCTGCAGCATATCCTCTTTTTCTATCTTCAATGCTTCTTTGATACTGAGATAATTCTGGCATATTAGCTTTGTCATTGTAATATATCTGCATAAAATGTATTTACATAACCTTAAGATCTTATGCTTTAGCAAGTGGCCATCCATTCTGGAATGTGGATTAAAAGCCAGACAATATTCAGTGGCAGTCTGGATCTTCATTCTCATACTGAAAGTTTTTTGATATTCTGTTATATTAGGTTGTCATCGCTTTATCTCTCTCACTGGCTGACAAACCAATCCTGATGTGTTACCATGCAACAGATCCATTAGTATACACTACTGCCATCAATTCCAGTATAAGAATCTACCACATGTTTAATTTAGGATTCCTTCTTCTCACTGTATCACTGTCTGTACCTTTAGGATGGTAAATTTGAAATGTATATAACATCTCTAAGATAAGATAAATGAAAAACCAAGAGTGAGTACTTTTCCATCACGTGTTTGTCTTCAAGAACCAGAAATCTACACTAGACTGATAGAGTAAAAAAATAACTTTGATCAGGACCTAAAGAAAGTGACTTGTATCTGCAAGTGTCAAATAATGTACACATGTAGATCTGCTGGAAAGGGATGCTAAAATTCTGAAGCAGAAATTATTGCTTTGAAAAAAATATTTTAGGTCTTTCCATCACAGCCCAGATCATCATTATCTTCACTGATGCAACTCCCCACCTATTTATTATCTGGCATTTTCCCACCATTTGAAGAGGTAGTAACATCACAAGGTGTCAGACATCAATCAGATTCACTTAACATTCCACCAACAAGTCATATATTTCTGATGATCAATGTGTAGATACAGGTTTTATACTTGTCACACTCAGCTGAAGTAATTCTGATCCTCTGTAACTTTCTGTTATAATTACTGCTGTAGTATGCATTTTATAGTACCTGTGTTCTGTACATGCTCAAGTGTCTCTTTTTAATAGCATTTCCCGCAGATCAAATGTCAAAATCATACATGACTATCTGTATGACTGCTTCATGATGTCAGATACTTTTCAGTAATCATTAGGACTAAACTGTGTCAAGCATTATACCTTACTTCTTGTTCTAACTCTTTTCTTCCTTTTGTATCATCTTCCCCGATTTCATCTGCTTCCTACCAGCCTCCAAACAGAAAAAGTTTCCATTTTATAGTCTTTGTAATTGATAAAAAAAACAAATGATCCATTTGGTAGAGCAACCATATCAGATTAGAAGCAAGTGCTGTTCCCTATGGCAATCCTTCTATCTGGTCCTGGCAATCCTTCTATCTGGTCCTGTCCAACCTGCCTACTAGCCAGCCATATTTCATGACTTCACAAACAGTAGATGTGATCTTCCCTTTATAATCTAAAGGGGGGAGGCTAAAGCATTTATGGATGCTCTCATGCACAATTTACAGCCTGTTAAAACCTAAAATCTGTACTTTAAATCATAAACCCTATCTGCATTTCATGTGTTTATTATAAATGAAATATTAACTCTTTCAAAACCGTGACCAATAGACAAAGGTTAAATTTTCATTTGCCATTATGACTACAATGTTTTAACAGTCACATTGGCGGGCCAGGTTAGTGTGCAATTCTTTATTTATTATGACAATCAGTAAAAAAAACTTTCACCGGAGTTATATCGTTCTGAACATTTTCCCCACTACTTCCCTTGAAATGGTAATTTTGTAAAATTATATTTCGCTGTTATCTTTCTTGAAATCACATATCTATATATGTCTGGGACAATACATTTGTCTGGACCCCAAATGGTTAAATACTGGTGTTAGTATTACAAGGGAGGCCTCGGGTGCACTTAGGGGCAATGACTAAATATACGGCAGTGGTGGAAATAAAGATGAAGAAGAAGACAGGATATTAAATATAGGGTTTTAGTTAGACCCCTATTTCAACGAGGCATACATATATGGCAGTAGTAGAAACCAAGGTGAGGTAGAAGATGGGAGAATAAGATACTATACCAGGTGAGGCCGAGCAATTAAATCTAGTCATATATAGAATTAGCCTTCTTTTAAAATACCAGGTAAAACCCCTGAACACTATTTCTACATACCTATCTCTCTAGTGTTGCTCATTAAATATGCTTCTGGGGAAGTTTTCTTGCGAAACTACTAAACCAAGCAATGATCTTTTCTCTCTGCTGGATTTACTTCTTTTTTCTTCTGTGTATCTTAATATTCAGAACATTATCTATTCATATTCAGTACAAAGTGAGTATATTTTTTTTAAATCATAAAATACATACTTTAATGCACTGCTCTGCCAGATCTTTACTTGTGCGAGAAGACATCTCTGCCACAACAAGACGATTGCAGAGAGCTTTAATTGCCCCTTCCACTGCTACAATCCTTCTAGTGCACTCAGCAGACACATCCAGGTAGTAGGTAATAGCACGAGCTGTCACTTCTAGCACATTGTCTGGCGCACATTCATCCAGGAAAATACGGCACAGAGCTGGCAGAAATGTTCTCGGCGGACAGCTGCCCAATAAAACATGTTCATGTTAGAGCTGTGTTACATTCAAAACTGTACTTGAATGTTAACACTTACAAACACACACACAAAAAACAGGTTAATAAAATAATCTAGCTGAGAAATAAGAGTGCAAAGAACTTGGGGGAGGACAAAAGATCTAAGTGGATCAAAGGACATTCAAGATCTTTTTTTTTTTAAAAGGAGACCAGAAAATTGGGCAAAGTTTCTGAGATAGCCTTTTTCTTCATTGATCTCTAGTCAAGCACTTAAGCTACTGTGGGCCATACATAAACTGGGTTGTCATATCAAGGTTTCTGAGGTTTCCCCACAGCTAGACTGGCCGTCTCTGCATCACCTGGTGGTAAAGTGATGTATGACAAGCTAGATATTGTGAGGGCCCTTTGGGCGCGAGTGAACAGTGCAGAGGCACAGACAGATCATTACGGTCTGAGGAGAAAGGCGTTGCGAGGAGTTACCAGGGAACCTGGCAGATGCTTAACACTCAGAGGAAAGATGAGACGGATATTCAATCAGACAGTTACTGGGGTATTCGGAATCAGAACTCTTTGCTTACTGCTGAACATGGGGACGGAGCGCTTATAGGAGTGTCCCGAGTGCTGTGATGTCGATTAATAATTCAACATTCTCTCCATGATTTTCTACACTGTAGGTTTCTTCCTCTGACATAAAGGGCCCTTACTCTGTTGAGCTGCTTCACATGCTAGTCTGCTGGATCAGCTTCCACGTTATCTCTAGCATCACAGAGAGAACCGTGAAGAGCTTCCAGCTGTGGTGATCAATATGGCCTATAAATGCATCTACTTAATCTAGAATTTACTTTCTTTGTTCTTTTTTTCAGGACTCCACTAAGACTGGCCCAAAGCCCAGCTGTAAAAGGAGGAGGGTCTGGCTAAACATGAGTGCTTCATGCGTCTCTGGAAGTAGTGGGAAACCATGAATCAGTCAGATGGCCCGCATGGGGACCTCAAGGAGGCTGCTCCTCCAGCATACAAAGGCACAACAGGCTAATCACCTGTTTTTCTTTAACTATGATTATAATTTACCAAAGAGAGAAAACTGAATGGATGTTTACAGTGACAAACTAGCATGGCTTATAGACTACAATTTATGCATCATACAAGGCATTAACAAGAAGGAAAACGAGGTAATAGTGAAGTTGAGAAATGCAAAATTAGGAATCCTGGCTTTGACTGAAACCAAGAAAAAAGGGACAAGGAATCACAGATTACAACAGAAGTATGCTGCTCTACAGTGATGTCCTTTCACTGGAGAGAGTCAAAAAAAGGATGTTGACTGTACTGTGGACAAGAATCAAGTTAGTAATATCAAAAGATGGAAATTCATTTCCGAGGGAATTATGGTGCTAGATCTAAAAGAAGAAGAAAAATGTTAATATTGTCACTGTGTAAGGACCAAATGAAGACAAGTGAGTAGATGTCAAAGAAGAATTATTTGAAGTGCTCCAAAGGACCATAGATGACTGTCACAATGAAATTTTCCTCCTAGAAGATCTAAATGCCAGAGTAGGAAATGATCACTCTAGATAGGGTGGAGTTTTCTGAAGATATGGGGAAGATGTTTTGAATGACAATGGCAAGCTAATTTTCAGATTCTGCAGGGAACAAAACCTAGTTATTACAAACACGAAAGTCCCCCACAAATGTATATATGCATACACAAGATGTGAACCTTCAAGGAATGAGAAATCTATCATCCACTATGCCATAATGGGGAGAAGTTTATTCATGTTTGTGAGAGACTATAGAGTCGTGAGAGGACCTGAGATTGAAAGTGACCACTATCTGGTCTCAATAAAGAGAACAACTGAAAGCTAACAAGAAACAATGAGGATTGAGGCATACAAGCTAAGAGAAACAGATTAAGGCTGGATACCAGGAGCTCAATGGCGAAAGCAACAGAAACTGAAGAAGAACCATCAGAACGCTGAAACCCGCTGGTGTAGATTCAAGAATACCCTCACAGCAGCTGCAGTAGAAGCATGTGGTGGTCCCAAGTGGAAGGACGGGACACTGGAAGGACACTTTAATGAATGGAAGAAATTAAATTGAAAATAGGAGAAAAGCTGCTAGGAACACAGCTGAAGAAATAAAGCAATATAAACAATATGTGACACTCAGAACAGAGACCAAAAATATAGTGCTTAATGCAAAACAGAATTCATGGAAAGAATTAGAGAAAAGTTGGAAAACAATGTAAGAAAAAATTGAGAAAATCTAAACTGTTCTACAAGACCCTCAAGAGCATGGGGAAAAAAGAGTGCCCGCTGAAATTCATAAACGATAAGAAAGCGCTCTGATTACTGTCACAAATTATATCAAGGACAGATGGAAAGAATACTTCTCTGAGCTCCTCTGTGTTGAGGAAAGTCATGACCCAGGATTAACGGGCTAAACTACAGAGGAGGAAATCATCCATGGGGATGATAACATCAGGATGAAAATTAAGCTGCGGAAAGCAGGAGAAAATGATGGTATAACACCAGAGCTGGTCAAAGCTGGTTCTCCAGACAGCCTGGTGTAGTAAAACTACACCAAAAGATTGAGAGATTGCCATCATTATATCTATATTTTAAAAAGGGTGATAACAGACAATGTGAAAAAAAACAGAGGCATATCTCTCCTCAGTGTTCCTGGTAAAAGTTACTCCAGAATTCTCAGACTCAGAAATCTGGCAGAACCACAGTGGCTTCAAAGCAAACTGAAGTATTCAAGACCTTATCTTCATATTTAGACAGATAAGTAAAACAAATCCCTTGAATATCAAAGTGGATTGCACCAATGTTTTTTGGATCTAGAAAAATGCATTTGATAAGGTACCCTGGAACAAGCCCTGGGACTGCTTGGCAGGGAAAAACATCTCAGCACCCCTGATGAGTCAAATCAAGAGTTTCTAAAAAAGTTGCACAAATTATTTAAGAACAGCAGACCAAAGGTCAGAAGAATTTAAGACCACCAGCGGTGTTAGAAAAGGGTATTTAGCTTCTCCGACCACGCTTGCAGAGTCACATGATTTGAGGTGTAAGCTGTGAAGGCTCAGAAAACAGCTTGTATTGGAGACTGTTGGTTCTGACTCAGTAAACATAAGGCCAGTGCGTGGGTGGCAACTGTAAAGCACCCCAGCAGGTGTGTGGTTAGTAACACAGTCCGTCTCTGGGGTGAACTGCCCAGTGCTTGTTGTAATTACATTAAAGGTTGATGTGTATGTTATGACAGTGCTGGGTTAGTTGTGTTTAAAGTTGACACCTCTGTCCTGGAGCTGACAACAAGCCATTGTCATTAAGGTGATAAGTAGCTCTCTGACACCTAGAGTAGTGTGTGGATCATCATGGTGGTTGAGATTAGTAAGGCTGTTGGTGATTAGCCATTCCTCAAGGTTTTTCTCCATGTAAGTCGTAACACCAGCTTAGTGAGTGACTGCTGAAATCTCCTACAATTAGCAGGTTATTATTTTCAGCCTTGATAACCTCAAGGTCAGTTTGGAAGGTAGGTGGTGAGTATATTTTATAGTGGGAAATATCTGAATTATTTAGCTGCAGCTTGACAGCTATAAACTTAATATTTAGCTGGTTGGATCTATGTAATTCTACAGCTGGTACTGAATTAACCATCTGTGTTGATTCCTCCTGACCAAAAACTGGTTGATATTTTCCGTTTTTGGAGACAGTTTTTTATTAAGTCTTCTCTCTAGACAGTTTGCAGTCCCCACCTGAGGACATTCTGTCTTCCCGGTTAGTGGACAATGCCTGGTATTTCTTGCCTAATAATATCCTAAAAATGATGATTCCACAAGTGGCAGTCTTTCATGTTTACAGTTCCATTCTGTGGATATGGATTCTCATAAGACTTCAACCTCACTTGCCTACATTATGCCAATGTTTAATACAGATATCAGATCCATCATTCATAAACAGAAAGATAAGATGTTCTGCGACATGGTACATCTCAGCAAGACCCACAAGCAAAGGTGAAAGGTGAGCGTGCCAGGCAGTTTACAAAACACTATTGTGTTTGTCAAAAGAGAGGAATTTTAGATAAGGCTTCCACAAATAATAATGAGTCACGTCACGCAACTTCTCCCTTGTACGTCATCAAAATGGAACATTGTGCAACAGCATAATTTGTCATCAGTCTCACTCTAAATTAAGAGATAGGAACCTGGTCTATCTGTAAACAAGTCAGACCATAGCATTTCTCAACAAAATTAGACTTGAAACAATCTCCACAGCTACAAGATTTTACTTTTTCTTAAGCAACTAACAGAAGAAAATATTTCAAATATCTACATCTGGCTTCCCTACAGTCGTGCAAAATTCACTGACATAAGGAGTTCTAATTAGTTCAAGCAACAACAACAACAAAAACAATTAAATCAGTTAGGATAAAGAAATGTGCCCATTATTCCAGCTGTAGTGCAATGCAAGAAACTTGTTAATTTTGTGTTATTTATTGAAATGATACTGTCAATATTTATTGGAAAGGTTTAATACTAGGTTTAGGCAAACAGATCAATGCAATAACAATAAATATATCACACAGCATATAATAAAGCTGTGACAAATTGCAGGACTTGCACATCATATTTTCATTGTCTGAATTCCCACTTGTTATTGTTTACACCGGAAGCTGAAATATTTGCGTCATATCAAGTGCCACGACGGATTGGAAAAAATTATAGTAGGAGGGGCAGGGGCCGACCGACACGAAGATGGGCACAGGATATAAGTGACTCCTTGAGTATGAAAGCACATGAGGCGGGAGAACTGGCGAGAGAACAAGTTTCTTTCAGGCAGACTGTGATGAGAGCGACGTTCTGCAAAGGACCTGCTACATGATGATGATGATGCTGATGCTGATGATGATTGTTTACACTCTAAAACTTTTTACTTTCGATCTGTCCATGTTTTTCTAGATGCATTTATTTGCTCTACATTCCACAGTCCAATGTCTTCTCATGCCATTCATTATCTATTACTCCCATAAATATTATTGAACATTGGCTAATGAAATCTGTTACCTTTCAAAGCATCTATCAACATTGTCAGACATCAGAAGAAGCATACAAAGCTGCTCCAGAGCTATAAGCTGCATTTCCCTCTCATCTCCTTGTCCCATCTGAAGCCACTCCAGAAGGGTCTCTGGATCAACATCAGCCATCTTCTTTGTAATGAAGTGTAATTTTACATCAGGTGACAAAAAATCAGCACTTTCATTTAGAAGGCGGTTAGTTTTCTTCTGAAACTGGATCAGTTATTCTGCACTTTGATTACTTTACAGTAAGCCTCAAAACATTCACGCCCTTGTTCTACCAGTGACCCTGAAAAGTGAAACTACTGTGTTAAAATAAGGTATGAAGAATATAATGTATTATTCTGAGTAACAAATCTGCAATATGAAGTAATGATATAATAAAAGACGGTTATGAAATTAGTAATAATGGGTATGCAGAAATTAGTCCGAAGTATGCACAAAATCTTAACAATGATGTGGAATACTTGGCACTGTATCTAAATCATAGGTCAGGGATTTCTCACTGCTTACTACCTGAGTTACCTGACTCCAAACAGACAACCAGTGTTCCGTCACTGGCAGACACCCAGAAACTACATTATTCAACCAGTAACGTTTGATGTGCTGTTTAACATCTCAACAACTCAAATATTATTTCCTCCACTTAAAATCCAAGCAAAAAGTATTTTTCTACCACACAATGCAGGAGTGGAGACCCTCTCTTTCTGGCAATGGTCATTTAGATATTTAAAACATCTTCTTTTTCTTCGATCCTTGTCTCAGAAAACTTATATCAGGAGGCCGGTAGCCTTTATGAAAGCTATTGCAAGCCACAGTGACCTGGAATCCACTGCAGTACAGATTGTTCTACTGAAGAGACTAAGTAAATCAGCTGTTGCGTCAAGTCTACAAACTGAGTGTCTCTTGAGTTAACAATTGCTTGTAGAACTGACACAGCATCAGTCAGAAAGACCACTCTGTTATATTTGCTGTGCTGTTCTCCATTTGGGAAAGAACATGCTGCCAGAAGTGCTTCTGCCTCTGCTCTTTCACAGACCATAAAAATACCATCAACTTAAATATTATCCTGTCATTTCTGATCAAACATTCTGATCAAGGCTGTTGCCTTGGTAGAGCCAGACCAAATTATATTTACTGGCTTTATATAGTGCCCAGTTTGACTGTTTGGGGGAGGGGGGCAATTTGAGTGTTAATGGGGAGCATTTTCATTTGAGAAAGGCTTAGGCGGGGCACCAAAAATGGAAGAACATTGCACTAGATCCCTACCCCTGATATAAAGCATGTAATCTTGATCGAAGCTGCAATTCATTCACATAAAGACATGAACATCTTCACTCAAGGCTGATGCGATAGATTAAATTAAATATCACTCGGTGAAAGTTCTATCCTATATAATTTTACTATAGTTAGGTAAATGCAACCAGAATATACCGACATATTTAATCACACTAGCTCTTTCAGCTGAAGTCTGGTATTATTTTAGTTTTTTGGAACCTTAGAAGTTGTATATGTAAATTACTCTTTTGGATTTAAGGGTTACATTAATAACACAATAAGACAGAATGACTTTTATAATCTGGTCAGAATATATAAGTGTAATAGCTGGACAGGAAATAAGACAAGAATAAGAACAATACATGTGAGCAGAGACCAAAAAATACATGGAGTTTCTTTGAATTCAAAAAGTTGAATGAAAATTATATGTATGAGTAAGACTGAGTGACCAAAAGTGACGTAATCAGAAATAAGGTCATAAGAAAAAACATCTGCATAGATCTAGTAATAAATATATTTTTTAGCACAGTAAATAAAACAGTTTTCCACTCAATGAATGCCTTGTAGTATCATACAAGGCAAACACTAAAAAAGAAGAGAGAGGGCAGAGCCCTTTCTAGACAAGGTCTGCAGATGACAGAGAAACTATATTATCAAGTGTATGTGTTTAAAGAAGTCAGAAATGTGTGAACCAGAGCCTTGTAATTGTTTCCATACTTAGTAAAAGAGGAAGCGAAGAAAACATTTCTTAACTCTTTGAGGCCCAAACAAAACTGTCTGTTAATTAAGAAGTTACGATCTGCCCAAACAACACTGTCTGCGTTGATCGTGTGTCTCGTACATTTTGATTCACATATGGCTCCGTATAAATGTCTTATGTTTGGAACTACCATTAATGTATTAAGGGAAGGTTACTTTAACATTTTTCTTTGTAAATAAATGTCTTTGCACGCCTGTGGGTGCAAACTGATCTGATTCATTGTTAGCGTAATTTTAAGACAGTGCATTTTCTGATTTTGTGTTCAAGTGGCCATGGTTATCAATGTTCCAAAAACAAGCATAGGCCAAAAAATGTGCTATTCTGTGGATCATGTTCTAAAATCTTTCAGTCAGATGTTTTCTAATGATGAAAAATTTTAATTTTTCGGAAAGTGATTTAGATGGTAAATGTACGCCAGTGGCAGCTGAGTAGGAAGCTGTTCGTTCTGATGAGGTAAATCTAAGAGGATCCATTTCATTTGGATGTCATAGATTGATAGTCACCATGTTTGCATCAAAAGGACAGTTTCAGGCGGTACCATACTCATACTATGGCTAAGCTGCATTGAATCATTGCAGCTACAGTGTGTAAATAACTACAAAGTTAATATTGTGTGTCTATAGGACTATAGGTCCAATTTTCTGCCATTTGTGCTTTAAAATTATGTTCAGCACTCTGTGAGAACCTAGAGCCTCTGAGTGAGAAACTCACCGAGAAATGTATCATCACTTTTGAGTTTGTTAGGAAACTGAACAAACTTTACAGTGTTATTCTCAAATTTGGATATTCACTAATCTTATGGCTGCAAAATCATGGTTAAGTGAAGATTTTTTTGGGTAAAATTTGTCTTTGTAAACATAACATCTGCTGAATTCTTTTTTCCTACTAACTTTAACAGTAGTAAACAAAAACATATCATCAGACTCAAAATGTACATTCACTCCTCTTAAAAAATATATATGCTTTTGTAGGGATTAAAAATTTGTCTTTCCTCAATGGCCTTTTTTTTTTGGCTCTCCTTTCAACTTCGGCCGGTAGACAAACATCGACGGACGGTTAGTCGGAGTTATGTCCCCTTGCTACAGTGCAATTACGGACTGGAGACGGCACAAATCAAACAACACAGTGAAGTCGACATGCAGACCCCGCGCTGCCACTCAAATTAGCGACCGCGTTCAATTACCGCTTCTTCCGACTCATTACGGAGTGGACTAGAGGGAACGAGACAAGTGACATAGTTACTGTGTGTCGGCGATAGACAGTGTGCAGTGCCCTAGGGTTAGGGTTAGGGTAGGGGTAGGTTTAGGGTTAGGGTTGCTACTATGAGTTTGTGCGATGATGAGATGCGGCGACACTAACCTTAACCCTAACCCACACCCTAAACCTAACCCTACCGCTAAACCCAACCCTAACCCAAACCGCATGCTGTCTATCGGCAACACACAGTAATTATGTCATTTGTTTCGTTCCCTCCTGTCCAGTCCGTAACTGCACTGTAGCAAGGGGACATAACTCTGACTAACCGGCCGTCGATGTTTGTCTACTGGCCGAAGTTGAAAGGAGAGCCTTTTTTTTCAACACCCCCCCCCCCCCCCCCCCCCCCCCCCCCGCTGCCATTTTTGAAAAGGGAAATTAATGTGAGTCACGTCGGCCAAAATTCATGGGCCTGAGAGAGTTAATAACGTAATGAACATGATCATAAAAGACACATTTTGAACCCAGCATTACTAAGGTGTAAAGTGGTCATCAGGTGCAACCTAGTTATGAAAATTCATTCCCACAATCTAACCAACTGTAACGTTGGTCTACAGCATTCATTTTCTTTTTTAAATTCCATACAGACGCATATAGTGATGAGATATATATGTAAGCTTCTTCCACGACTATTGGTCAAGTACTACTAAAGTTAATGCTACACTAACAAATCTTTCAAAGGCACATTCTCCATTTGAGCTCACATACAAAGTATAGTAATACCTAGAGCTTTCAGTTGGGCACCACAGATGATATATTTTAAATTTATCAGTGAGAGATAACACTGGACAACGATGGTCTCTAACTGACCTATTTAACTAATTTGTTTGTTTAAACTAACAGTAATTTAGTAATAGCATCCACTATTAATATTATTTTCTAATTTTCCTTTCTTCAATTGAACAAATAATACTAGGAAAAGATGTTAATTGTATGTTACTTTTAGTACATTTAAGTTCTATTGCATACATATTGAATTATGCATGAAAGGTGGGGGGGGAGGGGTGATATACCTTACTTTATTGTGACTGTAAGACCTGCCCACTGAGAGAAACTGAAACAATTTAATTCCATCCTCAAAATCCAGATAAAAGGAACTGAAAAACAAAACAACGTACGTACACTCGTACTACAGTGATCACAATGTTTTACTCAAGGTTGCTTTTTCCAAGAGGTTTGTTTTTACTACTACTGCAGTTAACATGAGAATATATAAAGAGATGCTCTCAATCTATTACAGAAGGTCTAAATATACCGCAACAGTCAACACGGCGTAAATAAACATATACGACTCAAAGGAAGTAGTAGTCCAGCTCGCCAGTGTCAGACAAAAACTTCAGCGTAACGTAACACGAACAATTGTGCGCTGTGTCGTTTGGCGGTTTGCCAATGTCATCGAGTATAGCCTAATTGCTGGCGTTAAAGAGTCTTTTAGTATTTGTTAAAATATGACTCATTGTAAGCTGTATTTATAAATATGAAAACAACGCTTACGTGACGACGGTAGATAAATAAATGGAATAAGTACCTGTGTACCTCTGTCATTCGTTCTATGATGTGCCTCGTTTTAGATCCAGCAGTTTTCTTTCCGGTTCAAAGGTTAAAGTAGACTATACCAACTGCCTGATATCTGTTCATTACTAGGGAGTAGGAGCTCAAACAGATGGTGCTCGTGTTTGTAGTGAATGGATAGATACTTGGACAAGTCATTGGTTCTTTCTTACAATAACAAATAATAACGGGTGTGAAGCTGACATTCGAAAGACATTAACAGTGGTCAAAGCGAGGTTTACTTAAAAAAAAAAAAACATTAAAAAGGCTTAGATACAAATGTAAA